AAGGTTTGGTGGCTGACGTTTGGTAACTCAAACTTTCAGCTCCCTCCACAGATTTTCAATCGGATGAAGGTCTGGAGACCGGCTAGGCCACTCCAGGACCTTAATGTGCTTCTTCTTGAGCCGCTCCTTTGTTGCCTTGGCCGTGTGTTTTGGGTCATTGTCATGCTGGAACACCCATCCACCACCCATTTTCAATGCCCTGGCTGAGGGAAGAAGGTTCTCACCCAAGATTTGATGGTACATTGCCCCGTCCATCGTCCCTTTGATGCGGTGCAGTTGTCCTGTCCCCTTAGCAGAAAAAACACCCGCAAAACAGAATGTTTCCACCACCATTTTTCACAGTTGGGATGGTGTTCTTGGGGTCATAGGCAGCATTCCTCCTCCTCCAAACACGGCGAGTTGAGTTGATACCAAAGAGCTGGATTTTGGTCTCATCTGACCACAACACTTTCCACCAGTCCTACTCTGCATCATTCAGATGTTCAGTGGCAGACTTCAGACGGGCCTGGACATGTGCTTTCTTGAGCAGAGGGACCTTGCGGGCACTGCAGGATTTCAGTCCTTGTCGGCGTAGTGTGTTACCAATTGTTTTCTTGGTGACTGTGGTCCCAGCTGCCTGGAGATCATTGACAAGATCCTCACGTGTAGTTCTGGGATGATTCCTCACTGTTCTCATGATCATTGACACTCCACGAGGTGAGATCTTGCACGGTGCACCAGACCTAGGGAGACTGACACTTGTTTTGTGTTTCTTCCATTTGTGAATGATTGCACCAACTGTTGTCACCTTCTCGCCAAGCTGCTTGGCAATAGTTTGGTAGCCCAGTCCAGCCTTGTGTAGGTCTACAATCTTGTCCCTGACATCCTTGGACAGCTCTTTGGTCTTTGCCATGGTGGAGAGTTTGGAATCTGATGGTTTGATGGCTCCTGTGGACAGGTGTCTTTTATACAGGTAACACAATGAGATTAGCAGCACTCCCTTTAAGAGACTGCTTCTAATCTCAGCTTGTTACCTGTATGAGAGACACCTGGGAGCCAGAAATCCTGCTGAATGATAGGGGATCAAATCCTTCTTTCCCTCATGAACATGCAGATCAGTCATCATTTGTTAGACGCATTTCTGCTGAATTTGTTGTTGTATTCTGTCTCTTAGTGTTACACCGAACATTCCATTGTTAGACCGATCATTTCTTTGTGAGGGGCGAACATTCAACATCAGCAGGGGAGCAAATACGCATTTCCTTCACTGTATACATCTATATCTATATGTATGTATATATATATATATATATATATATATATATATATCTCTAGATATATATATATATATATTTTTTTTTTAATATGATATTTATATATATATATATATATTTTTTTTTATATATGATATATATTTTTTTTTATTATATATATATATATATATATATATATTTTTTTTTTAAATATGTTGAATACGGCCAAAATTGTAGTATTTCAAATATAAGTTGATATATTTGGGCAGAGTATTTTTCAAATATATTTAAAAATATATTTTTCTTCCATGTGTGTAATAATTTATTGCAGCTTGCAAGTCCTGAGATGTGGCGTCTGCAATTTTTTTTATCATGCTTTTTTCCCTTTTTTTTCTCCCGGTAATTCTGCCAGTAACACACTTCCTGTCCTAGGGTGACAACACTCATTCACTGTAGTGTATCTATGGAGGATCAGTGTTCTCACCCTAGGACAGGGCTACATAACACCCTGGAAAACACTTTGGAGCTACAGATGCAGTGCGGACGTGCGATCTCATGCATAAAACACAGAACCTTTTTTCGCAGTTTGTCTGCGGGTCACTGGAGTAGCAGCATTCACTATCTGCAAACATCCTCTGTGCTGTCACTCAGCATCTGCCCTTTATATTGATCCCAGACGAGCCCCCACATTGTTATTCATTTACCCCTGTTGTCCCCTGTTGCAATACTGATCCTTTGTATCTGCGCACACTTGGTCTGCGGGTCACTTGAGTACCAGCGCTAGCTACCTGCAAACATCCTCTGTGCTGTCACTCAACATCTGCCCTTTATATTGATCCCGGACGAGCCCCCACATTGTTATTTATTTCCCCTGTTCCTATGCTTGCAATGCTGATACTTTGTATCTGCGCACGCTGTGTCTACGGGTCACTGGAGTAGCAGCGCTTGCTATCTGCAAACATCCTCTGTGCTGTCACTCAGCATCTGCCCTTTAAACTGATCCCGGACGAGCCCCCGCATTTGTCAATGACGGGATTGTATGTGTAGTTGGGACACTGCAGAGGTGCTGTGGCCAAAATCTGGGAAGGAGCCACTTGCGCAGAAATGGTTCAGGAAAAAAAAAACGATTGTAATATCATGGGACACAAAAGACCAGAAATCATAAAAATCAAACTTTTGCTCCCCAAATGTGTATATTTTTTTTGTGTTTGATAGGAGCTATGGGCGGAGCTAGGTAGCTGAATGTTCTGCAGCATGTGTTGGGTTCTAGGTCTGAGTCCCTCTATCTGCATGAAGTTCTCTTGTGCTCCCAAAAACATTCCATTGGGTTAACCCCTTCCTGGCCTGGGAGAGTTTGTGCTTTTGATGTTCAATGCCGACAGACCCACATGGAAGAAAAATATATTTTACAAATATTCTTCCCAAATATATTTTGTATATTGGTGTATATAGACGAAGTTTAATCACAGGGTGTATATAGACGAATTGTAATCACAGGGTGTATATAGACGAAGTTTAATCACGTGGTGTATATAGACGAATTGTAATCACAGGGTGTATATAGACGAAGTTTAATCACAGGGTGTATATAGACGAATTGTAATCACAGGGTGTATATAGACGAAGTTTAATCACAGGGTGTATATAGACGAAGTTTAATCACGGTGTATATAGACGAAGTTTAATCACAGGGTGTATATAGACGAAGTTTAATCACGGGGTGTATATAGACGAAGTTTAATCACAGGGTGTATATAGACGAAGTTTAATCACAGGGTGTATATAGACGAAGTTTAATCACACGGTGTATATAGACGAAGTTTAATCACGGTGTATATAGACGAAGTTAAATCACGTGGTGTATATAGACGAAGTTTAATCACGTGGTGAATATAGACGAAGTTTAATCACGGGGTGTATATAGACGAAGTTTAATCACGGGGTGTATATAGACGAAGTTTAATCAGGGGGTGTATATAGACGAAGTTTAATCACAGGGTGTATATAGACGAAGTTTAATCACAGGGTGTATATAGACGAAGTTTAATCACAGGGTGTATATAGACAAAGTTTAATCACAGGGTGTATATAGACAAAGTTTAATCACGGGGTGTATATAGATGAAGTTTAATCACAGGGTGTATATAGACGAAGTTTAATCACAGGGTGTATATAGACGAAGTTTAATCACGGGGTGTATATAGATGAAGTTTAATCACGGGTGTATATAGACGAAGTTTAATCACAGGGTGTATATAGACGAAGTTTAATCACAGGGTGTATATAGACGAAGTTTAATCACGGGTGTATATAGACGAAGTTTAATCACAGGGTGTATATAGACGAAGTTTAATCACAGGGTGTATATAGATGAAGTTTAATCACGGGGTGTATATAGACGAAGTTTAATCACGGGGTGTATATAGACGAAGTTTAATCACGGGGTGTATATAGATGAAGTTTAATCACGGGGTGTATATAGATGAAGTTTAATCACGGGTGTATATAGACGAAGTTTAATCACAGGGTGTATATAGACGAAGTTTAATCACAGGGTGTATATAGACGAAGTTTAATCACGGGTGTATATAGACGAAGTTTAATCACAGGGTGTATATAGACGAAGTTTAATCACAGGGTGTATATAGACGAAGTTTAATCACGGGGTGTATATAGATGAAGTTTAATCACGGGGTGTATATAGACGAAGTTTAATCACAGGGTGTATATAGACGAAGTTTAATCACAGGGTGTATATAGACGAAGTTTAATCACGGGTGTATATAGACGAAGTTTAATCACAGGGTGTATATAGACGAAGTTTAATCACAGGGTGTATATAGACGAAGTTTAATCACGGGTGTATATAGACGAAGTTTAATCACAGGGTGTATATAGACGAAGTTTAATCACAGGGTGTATATAGACGAAGTTTAATCACGGGGTGTATATAGATGAAGTTTAATCACAGGGTGTATATAGACGAAGTTTAATCACGGGGTGTATATAGATGAAGTTTAATCACGGGGTGTATATAGATGAAGTTTAATCACGGGTGTATATAGACGAAGTTTAATCACAGGGTGTATATAGACGAAGTTTAATCACAGGGTGTATATAGACAAAGTTTAATCACAGGGTGTATATAGACAAAGTTTAATCACGGGTGTATAAAGACGAAGTTTAATCACAGGGTGTATATATAGACGAAGTTTAATCACAGGGTGTATATAGACGAAGTTTAAAGATGTATTCTTATAAATGATGTCGGATCGCTCTCATATGTCTGGATGGTTACCTCCAGCCTTCAAGGATCTCCCCGCCCCGGCACCCCGCTGTGCTGGAAGATCGCGCTCCCGCCATCCGCTGTTTGTTGAGCATCAGATGTGAGAATTGGCTACAATGGTTTCTCTCCAGGTGCAAATTTTAATTCTCTCTCTTTTTTTTTTTTTTTTGTTCGTTCTTTCTGCAGGGTTCAGCAGCTGTGGTGCTGTGTAATTGTCCTCTCCGTTGGCTACTTACGTGGATAGCTGTGCGCGGTTCATGAACGGACACCGGGGGTGACGCTTATTGACACAAGGTATGTAGCCACTGACTGCTGGGGGAAGGGGGGGGGGATGATTGTGCCTTTTCCTGCAGTTGTATTTTTTTTGGCATTTGTGTTGATGGAAACCCATAGTGAGGAAGTACGGAGGCTGCTATTGAATACTAGACCCCCAGGGGTGTCGAGGCATTCAAAAATCAAAAATGAAGTCAGATATCCCCCAAATGTCTGAACAGTACAGATATCCCCCAAATGTCAGGACAGTACAGATATCCCCCAAATGTCAGGACAGTACAGATATCCCCCAAATGTCTGAACAGTACAGATATCCCCCAAATGTCAGGACAGTACAGATATCCCCCAAATGTCAGGACAGTACAGATATCCCCCAAATGTCAGAACAGTACAGATATCCCCCAAATGTCAGGACAGTACAGATATCCCCCAAATGTAAGAACAGTACAGATATCCCCCAAATGTCAGGACAGTACAGATATCCCTCAAATGTCAGGACAGTACAGCTATCCCCCAAATGTCAGGACGGTACAGATATCCCCCAAATGTCAGAACGGTACAGATATCCTTAAATGTCAGAACAGTACAGATATCCCCCAAATGTCAGGACAGTACAGATATCCCCCAAATGTCAGGAAAGGACAGATATCCCCCAAATGTCAGGACAGTACAGATATCCCCTAAATGTCAGGACAGTACAGATATCCCCCAAATGTCAGGACAGTACAGATATCCCCCAAATGTAAGAACAGTACAGATATCCCCCAAATGTCAGGACAGTACAGATATCCCTCAAATGTCAGGACAGTACAGCTATCCCCCAAATGTCAGGACAGTACAGATATCCCCCAAATGTCAGGACAGTACAGATATCCCCCACATGTCAGAATAGTACAGATATCCACCAAATGCCAGGACAGTACAGATATCCCCCAAATGCCAGGACAGTACAGACATCCCCTAAATGTCAGGACTGTACAGATATCCCCCAAATGTCAGGACAGTACAGATATCCCCCAAATGTCAGAACGGTACAGATATCCCCCAAAATGTCAGGACAGTACAGATATCCCCCCAAATGTCAGAACATATAGATATATCCCCCCAAATGTCAGAACAGTACAGATATCCCCCAAATGTCAGGACAGTACAGATATCCCCCAAATGTCAGGACAGTACAGATATCCCCCAAATGTCAGGACAGTACAGATATCCCCCAAATCTCAGGACAGTGCAGATATCCCCCAAATGTAAGAACAGTACAGATATCCCCCAAATGTCAGGACAGTACAGATATCCCCCAAATGTAAGAACAGTACAGATATCCCTCAAATGTCAGGACAGTACAGCTATCCCCCAAATGTCAGGACAGTACAGATATCCCCCAAATGTCAGGACAGGACAGATATCCCTCAAATGTCAGAACAGTACAGATATCCCCTAAATGTCAGGACAGTACAGATATCCCCCAAATGTCAGGACAGGACAGATATCCCTCAAATGTAAGAACAGTACAGATATCCCCCAAATGTCAGGACAGTACAGATATCCCTCAAATGTCAGGACAGTACAGATATCCCTCAAATGTCAGAACAGTACAGCTATCCCCCAAATGTCAGGACAGTACAGATATCCCTCAAATGTCAGAACAGTACAGCTATCCCCCAAATGTCAGGACAGTACAGATATCCCCCAAATGTCAGGACAGGACAGATATCCTTAAATGTCAGAACAGTACAGATATCCCCCAAATGTCAGGACAGTACAGATATCCCCCAAATGCCAGGACAGTACAGACATCCCCTAAATGTCAGGACAGTACAGATATCCCCCAAATGTCAGGACAGTACAGATATCCCCCAAATGTCAGAACGGTACAGATATCCCCAAAATGTCAGGACAGTACAGATATCCCCCAAATGTCAGAACATATAGATATCCCCCCAAATGTCAGAACAGTACAGATATCCCCCAAATGTCAGAACAGTACAGATATCCCCCAAATGTCAGGACAGTACAGATATCCCCCAAATGTCAGGACAGTACAGATATCCCCCAAATGTAAGAACAGTACAGATATCCCCCAAATGTCAGGACAGTACAGATATCCCCCAAATGTAAGAACAGTACAGATATCCCTCAAATGTCAGGACAGTACAGCTATCCCCCAAATGTCAGGACAGTACAGATATCCCCCAAATGTCAGGACAGGACAGATATCCCTCAAATGTCAGAACAGTGCAGCTATCCCCCAAATGTCAGGACAGTGCAGATATCCCCCAAATGTCAGGACAGTACAGATATCCCCCAAATGTCAGGACAGTACAGATATCCCTCAAATGCCAGAACAGTACAGATATCCCCTAAATGTCAGGACAGTACAGATATCCCCCAAATGTCAGGACGGTACAGATATCCCCCAAATGTCAGAACGGTACAGATATCCCCCAAATGTCAGAACAGTACAGATATCCCCTAAATGTCAGGACAGTACAGATATCCCCCAAATGTCAGGACGGTACAGATATCCCCCAAATGTCAGGACGGTACAGATATCCCCCAAATGTCAGAACATATAGATATCCCCCCAAATGTCAGAATGGTACAGATATCCCCCAAATGTCAGAACAGTACAGATATCCCCCAAATGTCAGAACAGTACAGATATTCCCCAAATGACCCCTTTTTGCAAAGTAGACAGTCCGACGTACTTCATAAGAGGCATGGCGAGTTTTTTGAAGTTGTATTTTTTTTGTATAATAATTTTTAGGAAAATGAAGAAATTAAAAAAATTATTTTCACAATTTTTTTTTTACATACTGTCACTGTTGCAGTACAGCGTCATCATATAACTGGTGTGGCGGTGATCAGAGACACTGACTGGTGACAGTACGAAAAAAAAAAAAAATTTGATCATTTTTTAAATTTTTTTTTTATAATTTTATTATTTTTTATTACTTTTTTTTCTCTTTAAGATTTTTTTTTTTTCATATTACACTATGACCAAAGTATTATAATGTTAACATAGTAACATTGTAATACTTTGGGGAAAAGATCAGTATTTTTTTTTTTTTTTACACAATTTGATTGCTTGTAGAAAAGAATTTCTACCCTGATGGAAACAGTGGGCTTGCTCCTGGGAGAACTGAGAGCTCCTGGGAGGAGTTATGCAAATCATAATGGCTTGATGGGTGGGTGTCAGTCTGGAGGAGAGGGCGCTCCAAGGCCGGCTGTATTTATACAGACCGCCCACATGTGATGCTGCGGCTCCATGATGAAAAAAACTGAAATCTAATGAAAGGGGCGAGGCCTTGGGCAGTCAGACTGGGGAGGAAAGGGCTAGATGTTGCTGGGCTGGATTTGAATCACATCAATACGAGTATTATTAGTAGGAGCCCTTCGAGGAATAATCCGCCCGCCCTCATTGGCTGCCAGTGTTGGTATACCAGGGCGGGGCTTTAGGTAGGACTTGTCACCTGTCTGCCTCCATTCTTGGTCCTGAAATGCGGATTCTGCCCATTGGGAAGACTTCATGTACTGTACAGATCGCACAGGAGCGCGCCGGCGTGTGAAAAGCCCGATAATAGAGCGCCCGGCCGGGGGAAAGTTTACTACATTCTCTCAGCCTGACACCAGCTCCATAAAAATACTTGGTGTGCCGCGCAATAATTCTCACTCCCAGCGTAAACGTGTTTATGAGCTTCACGCCGCTCCCTCGTCCCGTACAGCGTCCGACTGGACCCCCAAACCCACGACATGGGTGGTCTTCAGGGACCGTCACGTCACCGACCGTCCTATCGTAGGAGAGCGTTAACCTTTTCACTGCCTGCCTTACCTGGGGCTCTTATAGAAGGACTCGGAAATCAATGTCTCCTCTTATTCTATCATTATTATTATATGATGATGATTATTATTATTAAGATTATTATTATTATTATTATATTATTATTATTATTATTATTATTATTATTATTATTATTATTATTATTATTATATTATTATTATTATTAAGATTATTATTATTATTATTATTATATTATTATATTATTATTATTATTAAGATTATTATTATTATTACTACTAATAATGTTGTTGTTCATTTTTTTTAATACATTTTATTATTCTATTACTACTACTGCTACTACTAATATTATTGTTTTTATTTTTGTTTATTCATTTTATTATTTTATTATTATTACTATTACTAATAATAATAATAATAATGTTGTTACAAATTGTGTTGTTGTTATTATTATTATTTTGCTTACTACTACTACTAATAATAATACTATTATTATTAATGATTTTACTCTACATTTTATTATCCTATTATTACTACTATTACTACTACCAATTATAATATAATAATAATCATAATAGTAATGTTGTAATTAATACAAATTTTATTGTTGTTATTATTATTATTATTATTATTATTATTTTGCTACTGCTACTAATAATACTAATAATATTAATGATTTTACTATACATTTTATTATTCTATTATTACTACTGCTACTAATAATATGGTTGTTGTTAATGCCAATTTTGTTATTATTATTATTTTACTTCTACAAATTTTATGATTATTATTATTGCTACATAATAATAATAATAATAATAATAATAATAGTGCTATTATTAATATTGTACTATATATTTTAATTATTATTATTATTTCCATTTCTATCCTTTTTTCTATGACTGATACTACTACTATTAATAATAATGTTGTACCACCAATATAAAAGAGCTTATACTATACTGTCTCACCGCAGTCACACACTATTATACATTTATATAGCTCTGACATATACCGTAGCGCTGTACAGAGAACACTGAGCCAGTCACATCAGTCTCTGTACAGAGGAGCTTACACTCTAATGTCCCCTCCCCCACAGTCACATCAGTCTCTGCACCAGAGGAGCTTATGCTCTAATGTCCCCTCCCCCACAGTCCCATCAGTCTCTGTACAGAGGAGCTTACACTCTAATGTCCCCTCCCCCACAGTCACATCAGTCTCTGTACAGAGGAGCTTACACTCTAATGTCCCCTCCCCCCACAGTCACATCAGTCTCTGTACCAGAGGAGCTTACACTCTAATGTCCCCTCCCCCACAGTCACATCAGTCTCTGTACCAGAGGAGCTTACACTCTAATGTCCCCTCCCCCACAGTCACACACTATTATTATTATACATTTATATAGCAGTGTAACCGATTTATAGTGAAAATATAAACACAGGATCTTTCTTCTAATAGTATTAAAGGGGCCAAACTGCTAGACACGGCTTCATCAGTTGGTAGCATTCTAGAAATGTAAAAAAAAAGGACGGTGGGAACCCCTCATAATGGGCACAGCGGGTGTACAGACCCGGGAAC